ACGGAGCCTCAAATTTATCGCAATCCATGAAGACATTAGCTATATTATGAATATCTAGAGTATCAGGGCTACTACCAAAAACGAATTTGGAAAGGATATTAAATCTCATGCTTTAATGCTTAATTGATTTGCCGTTAGAGAAACAGGCTATTAGAGGACCTACAGGTGAGCTATACTTTGCCAATCACTAGGTATCTCTATATTTTCCTTAGAAAGATCTAGTAGCAGTCACTCTTAGCAATGGGTTGCTGAACCAGATAAACTTCCAGTTTTATCATATCGGGCAGTTCTCTTCCCCTGGCTCCAGGCCAAAGGAGAATAAAACACGGTATGGATTCTGTGAAATGTGCTCAAGTTTGTGGAGTTGAATTATGTTTATAGCCTTTAAGTTAAGCAATCAGCTTTAACAGGCATCTTTACCAATATACGGCCGCTGATTAAAACAGACAAAAAGCCTTTATCGGTAAGTGACTTGCAGACTGATTGCATGCCCAAGTTCTGGGTCTGGAGCTCACTAACTCTGCTTTTCCCATCTAAAATAAAATACTGCTCTGCACTGAATAGTCTTTCACCAGTTGCTGTTATATTTCAGGCCTGAAGTAATTCTTCCTGTTACGTGCAAATTCCTGTTTCAGTCATTGCAAGTTATGCATAGTCGTGCATAGCAGTCACAAGAAACCCCTTTTTGACTTAATTTCACTGTACTTCGTGGGTTTTTTTCCATGCCCTATGTGCCATTTTGTGCCAGTAATTTTACTGTGTTATTTTCTTCAGGGCCATTCTTGCTCAGGATTGATACCCATTTCCTCAGGACTACCTTAGAGTTTTAAATATCCAGCCATTCTCTTGTGACCCACTGATTCTCTTCCCCATAATTTTTGACATCGTTCTCGTGCTTGAGACACAACGAAAACATCCTATAACACTAAAAAATACATGTAATGGAGGGGCATTCGGGTTTTTAGATTTGAAGCCCTGGATCATCACTAGTTTGGGTGGCGGATGGCAGAACCATCTAGAAAAAAAGGCAGCAAGGCAGACAAGTGCTGTTTCATATTAACATCTATTCTCAATGAAGAGGTAAAAATCAAAGCCCCTGTGTGTGAGGCAGGGTTAGTGAACTGCCAGTGATTCTCCCAGCAACTGCCACAAAGGAATCTGTGAGTATCAAAGCTGAGGCAGCAAGCTTAGTGTCAGCTCTTGCCTAGGGAGTAGAAGAAAACATCACTTTGTCTCTGCTTTCACTGCTTAAACATACACATCATTCACTAGTAACCATTTACTCTGCTGTCAAAACTGTTTCAAGAGAGTGCTACATTTGATTAATAGTAAAATGCATGCATGCACCAACAACATGAAAAAAAGTCTGCTTCCCCTGAGGTATATTTTGGAGTATTTTTGCATGTACTTCTTAATTTTTCCATCCTATAAATATGCCCGTAATTTTCCAGGAGTACTCTGTTGCTTCTAGTAAAGTCATTTTTATTAGAGCGCCCAGTGCACTCATCCTAATTCTAGTTAATGCTCTCTCTCAGTGAAGCATATTATGGCATCCTCAGCCTCTTGTACTAACAAAAAAGTGACCAGCACAAACATGTGTGCAGTACATGATTCATAGTGCTGCTTTCTGAATTGTCCAGTGGGTAATTGCAGTACAAAAACCAGAGAAACAGATGTAGACCCTAAACCTTGGCTGTAAATTTTTGTTTTATGATTATGGGTTTCAAATGTGCTATGTCACACTGACAAATATACAGTAACACCAAAGGAAATAGATTTCTGACTTGAACTTTTGCTTTTTATTTCACTTGTGGCTAAGAATATGTTTATTGTAAAGTTTCTGCCATTGCATCTGAGAGAAAACAGATCAAAGCAGTGATGTGAAATCACAATTTCTTTGCACGGATAAAGTAGAAGATATTGGAGAGGTGTTACCTACTTGCTCCTCTATGGGAGCTGGGTAGGCATTTAAAATATGTGGCAATACTTAAAATTTCATTACATTTGAATTAGTTATCAGAACAATTATGATTAGTCGTGATCTAAATTAGAAAATACTGACCATTTTATCAGTGTAGCTGATACTCTGCTTAAGAAAAACAAGTATCATGCTACTTTGGAGTGAAATATGACATACATAAATTACTGTATTGTAGAAATAGTATGCGAGCAAATCATTAGGCTATTTGAAGAATTCGCTAATTACATGTGGTTTTAGTAATAAGTATAAGCATTAGCACAACTATTATTCGTAATAAAACATGATGAGTTACCTGGCTCGTTTAGATACAGTGAGAAAAAGCAATCTTTTTCAATTCAGACACAGTTAAGCATGACTTCTTGGCATTTACTTTCAGAAGTTGCCAGTCTACATTTTGAGGTACAACGGGCAGGTTTTATTTTTAAATACGGTATTATAAGACTGCTAATGGAATAAACAGAACTGTATTTCTGTTTGCCTGATTTTGTTTATTTTAACTCACATGGGCAAGATGTTTTTCTTGGCAGAAGCTTAAACTGTTCGTAGAACCTTGGTCCACACAAAATGCTGCTTTTTCCCTAAATTGGAGACTGACAAAACATACTGTGTTTTGTATAATCCTTTCCAGTTATTTTTGTGGCGACACAATGCATGTTCCAGACTCCTTGTGCGTTCTGTGTCATTTGGTTAGAAAATACTGTCTTTTCATTTAGCTTTGCTACTCAAAACAAAATTGTAGCAATGTAGTCAGCTGAGATTTTAACCAAAAAATTAGCCACTTGCCTTTGTAATGCAGCGAACGCTGCTTGCTGTGCCGTGGTTTAAACGAGCCTTCCCTGAAGGATGGCTTTTTTGATAAACGTGCGCTGTGCATAATCTTTGGATTACAGAGTGTCAGGCACTTCTTCAGATGGAGGAGTCTGGGCTGGGGGAGGACACTCCGATGGACTGAGAAAGCCCTTAAAAAGTCCTTCAGAAGACGCTGTTAAACTCCAGCGCTTGTAGCTCTTCTGCTGGGAGGGAAGATGGGGAGAGAGGCTGCCTGCTGCAGGGACAGCCAGAGCTCTCTTGTCGGAGGGGAAGGAAGCTAAGAAAAGCTTTTGTTTTTATATCTTCAAATGGATTTGCTTCCAGATTGCAGCAGGCCTTTTTGCTGGCCGCTGGTTTTCAACGGGGTGTATCAGTTTCAGGGAACGAGTGTGCGTGCTGTGTGTGGGGTTTTATTTTGTGAGTTTTTTTCTTAAGTTCTTGAACCTGTGTGAAAAGTTTTGTTAATACAATCTGCAGGCATTGTCAGAGAGCTTTTGGTTCATCAAAGAACTTTTTGTGGAGAGGGGACACCGCGTCCATTAAAGCGGCTGTGCAGGTCTCACAGTGAGTCTCTCCCCAGCGTTTTATGGTCGCCATTTGTGTGCCAAGTGTGTGTGCAGCGTTCCCTGCTCTGCCTGAGTCCCATTTTGGGTTTTTCAAGAAATAGTCAGTAATCAAGGGTTTCATTTTCCAGTTTCCAAACCCGAGCTAGCTTTGGGGCTGGGAGCGGGCCTCCTCTGTGCCTTGGAAAAAACCTCGCTCCAGGCCGGTGCTCAATCCGCCAGGGCTGAGGCGACTTGGCTCACTTGCTTAAAATGAAAGTGTGCACGTGGCCATTGAGCTCATCCTTTCCAGTGGGGCAGAGGAGTGTTTCCAGGCTGTTACTTTTCATTTTTAATGTGTCTGTAGAAGTAAGGACTAGCGGAGGCCTCGATAGAGTCTCTCTCTGTGATCCAGACTTTGCAGAATGTAGTTATTTACCTAAAAATTTGCTTGGTGCAAATGGTGGGCTAGCATGGTGCTGGCTGCAGCATCTTGGCCACAGAGCTGGGAAGGCCTTGGCACTTACTCCTGCCACGAGTGAGGGCTGCTAGGAGTGCGGTTTCACCAAGACCTCTGTATTTTGGTGGGAGCAGACTTGTGCCTTTAAAATGGCTGTGAGGGGGCAGCCAGAGCTGCCTGCCCTGGGGAGGGGGTAGCCAGGGTCTCCCCTCCTGGCACCCTGGGATGAGTCTTGTTCCTCATGGACCTGCTCATGGCCTTTCTCCGCCCCGAGAAGCTGGGGCTTATTAGCCCTCTGAAAGCTGATACAGCCCCTACGGGGCCACACGAGCAGCCCTGGCCCCTTTCTGCTAATCAGAGACAGCCAGGACCCGGTGGCCCCCAGGCCATGGAGAAGAGGGGTCGTGTGGCTGCCTCCAGCCCTAGGCTGGGTGATGGGGATGGGCCCTCCCAGGCGATGGCGCCTGTGGAATCTGGCCCATCAGAGAGGCCTTGGGATGTTTTAGAAGTGAGAGTAAGGGGTGATGGGGAGAGATGGAGCCTGACGCCACACCCCAGGAGGATTCGGCATGTGAGGTCCCGGCTGGGAGGGGGGCTGGTGCCAACCATCGTCTCTGCTGGTGGCATCAAACAGGGCAGGGTTAGGGTGAGGGGCTGCTCAGCACCCAGCCCTGCCACCCCAGAAGTTGGGGCGAAGCTGGTGTCCACGGCTCTGGTACGGTGGCCGACGTCTGCACCTCGCTTGTGGCCTCTTCAGGGAGGAAAGGAATGGGGGGGGGCACAGATCTTTTAACAAATTGAGCTGGAATTTTAAAATCCTCCGTTCTCCGTAACTGCCAAAAACATCGCTGGTCTCAATTCCCACCCCCTTCCTCCTCCTCCTCGTTGTTCGTTGGGGTTTTTTTTTCACTTTATTATTTCGGATCTTTTTGCGAGTTGGCTCTCCCGCTCCGCACCCGCCGTTGCCGCCCCGCCTCAGCGGCAGCGGGCGCGGCGCCGTTCGTTTGCCCTGCCTGCCTGCCTGTTTGCCTGCCTGCTTTTTTTTTTTGCAGGGCTGCTGGGAGTTGTGAAGGCGTGTGAGAATCCTGGGAGCTGGTGATGTCAGACCGCTTGGGTCATTTGAAGGTTAGCAGCCTGGGAAGGGTTCACGGAAAGTTCACTCGCATATATTAGGCAATTCAATCTTTCATTCCCTGTGACACAAGTAGTAGGAAGTGAGCTGTTCAGAGGCAGAAGGATCTATTCGCGGCCGAGGGGGATCCCGAGTCCCTACCGGAGCCGTTTTATCTCTGGGAGGCGAGAGATCGGCACGGCGTGGGACGCGGCACGCAACCGGCGAGCGCCCCAGGACCGAGACTGACTCTAAAGAAATTTGGGGGGGAAATGGATGGGAGCTAAAACTTGGAATGCGGCTTGAATCCCCCCATCTTGCTGGATTGGCTGGGCAGCCTGGAAAATGGTAAATGATCATTTGGATCAATTACAGGCTTTTAGCTGTGTTGTCTGTCATAATTCATGATTCTGGTCTGGGAAAAAGACCAACAGCCTACGTGCCAAAAAAGGGGCAGAGTTTGATGGAGTTGGGTGTACTTTTATGTGCCATTTTCCTCCACACCTAGAGGAAAGCACTTTTGCAAGCATTCTGTGCAGGGGGAATCATGTTTGACTGTATGGATGTCCTAGCAGTGAGCCCTGCTCAGATGCTGGATTTCTACACTGCGAGTCCGTCTTCCTGCATGCTCCAGGAGAAGGCTCTCAAAGCATGCTTCAGTGGATTGGCACAAACAGAGTGGCAACACCGGCACAGTGCTCAATGTAGGTCCCATCTGTTATTTTTTCCACTTTAAAGTAATTGTTGTTGTTGTTGTTGTTGTTATTATTTGCATGTGTTTAAAAAATAAACGCTTGTAATTAAGCGCAGGGGTAATGAGAGGTGGGGGGAGTTTTTGTGAAAAACGGGGTTTGCAAGCCTTTTTTTCTTCTTTTGGCAAGAAAAGAAAAGGAAAGCAGCACCGGGCTGCTTTCTGCTTATCCCTTCTCATGTAGCATATTGATCCTAACAACAGTTGTGGAGCCAAGCAGGAACACATAAAATTGTAATACAATACAGCAAATACTTGCAAAACTTCAACCAGTGAAGGACGAATTTACATAACATCTCTCTGGTAGTTTTCTTTTTCTTTTGCCTCCTTAATCTAATTTTGTAGCCCGTTTGATAATCTGGATGCATGTTGTCTCGAAGTGTGTTTTAGCAGAGCAGCCAAGCAATTAAAATGCTGCTCTGTACAGTTCTTGCAAAGACGCGGAATTGCAGTGGGTAGGTGCCATTCCAAAAATCAGACAGTAGTTTTAAGTTTCTGAAGAAAAGGCAATATTTCTTTGTACTGACCTTGCTGCCACCTTTCTTCTTCACTTTGTTGCTCTAAGAAGTTGCTGTTTTGCTAGAAAACTACTTACTGTGAACACCCTTTGAGTTTAACCATCAATTATTTCTATACCTTGAGATGCAGGCAGCGTTGCACTGGTAGCAGAGGAGGGAGAGTAAGTGGCAGAACACTTCTGAAAATGTTATGATGTTGTAGGTTCCTTATTTGTTGTTGAAATACACAGACAGTAAACAATGGCAGGATTTTAACACCACGGTTTCAAGTTTGAGAAATGACAAAATGTGCCAGAAAGTGTCACCTTATACTCTGCATAAAAGCTTGCAGGATGCTTCACTGCTCTGACGGTGATTTAGATAAATGACTTGGCTATCTATCAAAACGTTTTTAGCACGCTCTCAGGCACTTCAGTACGCCATTAACCGTAAAGTTCTGTTTGAGATTTTTTTGTTTTGCGGTATGTTAAAAAGTTAGCTAGGCATTAGAATAGTTTGTGTCAAAGGGGTGGAGTGAGGAGTTGAAAAATAAACTTAAACATGCTTGGTGAAATAGTGTGTTTTTCACTCTGCTCAAATGTTTTCAGTCGCCATCTGACGTTTGTGTGGGTTGTTGAGTAATGAAAACAGAATTGTAAAAATCAGTGACTGCTGGCCTACAACACTGCAAATATTTTGATGGTCTTTACAATGAAAATTAGGCTCTGAAGTTCACCATGGGATGTTTATTTTCTCCGCGCTGTTTTCAAAATGCTTCAAACAAGATGAGAAACAAAGCTTTTAGTTCGAAATAATGTTAATAACTAGGGGAGAGCTTCAGTTAAGAGGGAAAAAAAATGAAAACAAAACAGTTGTTTTACTAAAAATGTGTTTTCCTCCTTCCATAGTTTAAACTTTAGTACAACTTAAGCGGTGATATTGCGGAAACTTGGAGTTAAATAAACTTTCCTGGAGTAGGAGGCATATACTGTCATTAAGAGCTTACATTCACAATATATTCTTAACTAACTTCTGGTTTTAAAACGCCCTACTCATTCTCTTGTATGCTGTGAATACCTAGAAGCAAGATTCTTAAAAACAAAATATATGGTGTTTGTTCTTGGGCAAGTTAAACACAGGATTACCCTTATCAGAATGGAATGAGTGGTAAATATGTCATTTGCCTAGGGCCTGTGATAAGAGACAAGTGTTGATAACAGCAAAGTTTAGCTAATCAAAGAAACTCATATTAGCAAGAGTAAATAAAAAGTACAGGAAAATGCATTCAGGAATCCAGTCTCAACTTTTTAACCAATAAGATTAGTCTTTACTGCATGGGAATTTAAAATCGTGCCGAAACCTGAATCAGAATACGGTGACTGTAATTTGAACTGCGAAAGTTAATAGTATAGAAATGTGGAAAAGCAGTTTAGTTAGGGTCCAAATGAAGAATTCTGTTTGATTCCTAGGGCGAGTTTTGGTTTTCATTTCGAAGAACATGTAAGAACTTTATGTGTGGGGGTAAATGTACGTGAATGGATTATAAAATACTAAAATTGACTCAGCATGTAAGATTTTTATCTTGCATCTCTTGAGAATAATGACAAAAACAGAATTTTTGTGGTCCAGAAAGCTTTTAATGGTTTAAATGTTGCTACAGTGCTTATAAATATAAAGATAGGAATGTTTAATTCTAACTCAAATATTTCCTGATTGTCTGTTTTTATGAAGACCTCTGTGATTTAATGGAATGTATTCACAGCTAAATTTTGAAATTATTAGGCTCGTAACAGCTAGGTGTTTTGGTCTAGTTTGTTGTTTTATTTTTGGCTCCGCCATAAAAAACAGTACACCTGCAGCCATTGCTTCAGGCCTTAGAAATATTGCTTAGATAGAGACGTGATTGTGGAGTAAAAGGTAAATGGTTGTTGAGGGACTAATACATGGATAGAGCAGGCTCTGAACAGGCCAGTAACGATCCCAGACAGCACCAGGGTTTCCACTGAAATGCTGGCAAAATTGGCCATTGCAGGGGTTAGGGCAGAACGCTGTAGGTCTCCAACTTCAGCACATCGGTAGCCTGTTAATCCCGTTCTGATTCACTAAGCAAGAGCAGTCCTGCAGCATCACGAATTTTCTAGTCCACGAGGGTCTGCAAAGTAAAAATAGAGGGGTAAGGCGCAACCCAAACATGACCTTAACTTGTGTGGTATTTTTGTCCTCCCCCCTGTGGGAGGAAAAACCTGCTATGGGTTTGCAATCCAAAGGTTAGCGACTGTATACTGCAAGATGCGTTATGGACACACACACAAAAATACCTACCATTGCACTCAGGCATGTTTATGTTTTATGAGATATTGGTTATATTGATGTAGGCTTAAAAAGAAATTATTTATTTGCAAAGAAAATTATAGACTCGGAAATGAGAGTAGAACTGACTGCACTTTTAATCATACGTCATTCTCACTCCTTTTAAGATAAAAATCGGGGCAGCATAATCAAATTAGAAAAGAATAGTTCTTAAGAGAACAAAAGAGTTAAGATTGCAAGAATGAGTAATAGATACTTTTTAAAGAAAGATACAATTTTCTGTTCCCTCGTAATGCAGCGACAACAAATACTGAGAGAAAATTAGTAACTTTTGGTCAAATATGAGCTAACTAAATACTGCGGAAGTGGGAATGGGACAGGGCCTGAGAGAGGAGCTGAAAGAAATTGTGATTTTCTCTTGGACTTGGAAAAGCCTATTAAAAAAGTCTTCATTAGTCTTCGTTAATTAAACAGGCAAAAATACCTAATGAGCATGCCCAAAACAAGAGTAAGTTTGTTTGGCAGTATGTAGTGTTTCAGCTAATTATATCAAGACTACTGCCTACCGCGTTTTGTTAGGTTTAGAAGAATAAGAAATTTGATGAAGGCAAAAATTATGGAGATGGCAGCAAAACATAATAGAGTGTCAAGGCTCCTGTAGTATAGAGCTCTTTTTTTGGTTTGGTTGGAAGTGTTTGCCTGGAGAGGATCTAGCAGGTATTAAGTTTTAGAAAGTTCGTGAAGATGGTACTCTACAAGGCATGCGGTTTCCTTCTGAATTCCAGATTATTGCGGTGTTTGGGTCAGGTTCTCGTTCCCTGCAAGCACTGGAAATACTGGAAACATCTGTGCTCAACAGAAAAAAAAGATCAGTACTTTATTTTCTTTCATCTTTCTCAATTTAAAAACAAACATTTTGAAGTGAAGGACTTGTAATCTGCATTCCCAGGTATCAAATTGCTGCAGGTGTGTTTGCTAGTGCCCAGAAGGCAAGATCTGTTTGAACCAGGTTATTTTCTTTAAAGTCCATTTATAAACTTTACAGCCAAATCGCTAGGACTGATTTACTTAGGGATACAGTCTTTGTTTAGCTTTTTATGCTTGTAGCTTAATGCCCTGAAACATGTGATGAAAAGTGTTTGTTTCTGAGACCCTTCATTTAAAAAAAAATTGCACAGAGATATTTTTCTTTTAAAATAATTTGAAGGAGAGCAACTATTCTCTGCCAAGACTCTTGATACACTTAGCCTGATTCAGCTGCTGGCACTGGAGTCGAATGGACACGCACCGCTGTCAAAAACTCCTGCAGACAAAACTGATGAGGGGCGTCCGCTGGTGAAGTCGGGGTGGGATAAGCTTGGAGGAAAAGCGATGTATCCTTGGGTGACTCCCTGCTTGCCTGATGAGTCTGTGCAGCAGAGGTGCAACTTGTCAGAACAAAGCCAGGCTGGTGCGGGCGCTACCTCCAGGAGGGTTACGACGAAGTTAAGGAGTTGAAAGAGAGAGATAATGTTTCAGACAGCTAAGTTAGTCATCCTCACATCCAGTTAAATCCCCATTTACTGCTGAGCTGTCTTCATTAGCCATGTGTGCGTCACGCCTGCACCGCGGCCCCGCCGAGCTCAGGGGCTTTGCTCGGGGGGTGTGCAGGGAGCGAGGCGCCCCGGTCCGTGGATTATGCTTCCACCTCCCTTAAACACACCCCAAGCGAGTGTTTTTGCTCAGGTCTAATTTATACACCACCCTTTACGCGGCCGATGAACTACAGCAGTGTTACACCGCCAGCATTTAGATTTGGGAGCGGGGTTGTGAAAGGGACATTGTGCTGAGAAAGGGCCGCTGTCTGCCGCGGTCGGCCGCGCCGTGCCCCATCCTATTTGAGACCTCAAAAGCAGAGCACAGCTGCGATGAGTTTCCAGAGCTGTTTGGCCGTGGGGACCGGCGCTGGTATGCGTGCGAGCAAGGGGGGAGCATCCCTCTCCCCCTCGCAGTTTCTGCCTGGGGGGCTGGCAGCAGCCTCTGAGCAGTGAGTTTACAGGGGCGGATGGCTGGGGCCAAATTAGTTGTGGTTTCGGAGGGCTTCTCAGAGCTTCGCTGGGCTGTAGCGCTCAGCCCCATGAGGAAGGATATCAGTTGATGTATAAAA